TAAAAATATAAAGTTATATAAGAAATGAGAATATAATAAATAGTAAAATTAAAACATTGAGAATGGAGTAGTTAGATAGAAAATTGAGATATTGTAAAGTCTATCAAGATGCACAGACAATGTATAATATAATAGAGAGTTAACAACAGAGAAAAGGAATGAAAGGAAGGAGGGAAGAAATTGAGAAAGCTGAAATAAGAAATAAATAAAAGAGATTTAAGATGAGGGTAGGTAGACTTCAATAAGGAAAAAGATGTATGAGGTTGGGTGGAGGGTTGTACATCAAGTGCTTGAAGAGCTGTAGATGAAGAAGAAGAGTTGGCATGAGAAAAAGTGATGGCCGGAGATGAAATGTTGACGCGGGATGAGGTACTGGCCGGAGTTGAAGAAGGTGAATGGTGACTAGGTGGGCGTGGCAAAAAAGTTGCTGCTGGTGACTGCGGAGCTCTAGAATGATTTTGATGTCTAGTTCGGAGATGAGAAGAAAGACGGTTGTTATCTATCCACACGGGGCCAACGACCAGATAACAACCGTCTTTCTTCTCATCTCCGAACTAGACATCAAAATCATTCTAGAGCTCCGCAGTCACCAGCAGCAACTTTTTTGCCTCGCCCAACTAGTCACCATTCACCTTCTTCAACTCTGGCCAGTACCTCATCCCGCGTTAACATTTCATCTCCGGCCATCACTTTTTCTCATGCCAACTCTTCTTCTTCATCTACAGCTCTTCAAGCACTTGATGTACAACCCTCCACCCAACCTCATACATCTTTTTCCTTATTGAAGTCTACCTACCCTCATCTTAAATCTCTTTTATTTATTTCTTATTTCAGCTTTCTCAATTTCTTCCCTTCTTCCTTTCATTCCTTTTCTCTGTTGTTAACTCTCTATTATATTATACATTGTCTGTGCATCTTGATAGACTTTACAATATCTCAATTTTCTATCTAACTACTCCATTCTCAATGTTTTAATTTTACTATTTATTATATTCTCATTTCTTATATAACTTTATATTTTTACATTTTATTCTAAGATTCCCAATGTAACACTTTTGTCACCCCCTTTTTGATTATGCCTACTTCATCATTCCACACTATGTAACAGTCTGTATTATTTATCTCTTAGTTCTTAGTCATTATTCTAACAATTTTATTTTACTTTATATCTATCTATTTTATTTTTCTTTTATTTAGATCTATTTTATCTAGATCTAATCTATTTTATTTTCTCATTTTTTATTATCTTTTTTACCATCATTACTTAAGTTTCTCATACCTTGTTATCTGGTTATTTTCTTAGCCCTGATGATGGCCTGCTGAACTTCAGGTCGAAACGTCGGCATATGTAAAAAATAAATATTATAATTTATTTTTTGCCTTCCTTTTTTGACTGAGCACCCCAACTATTCTTCTCTTCATTATCCACGACAGTCAACCAATTACCAATTATAATAAATGGTATTTGTGTTATTTTAATGAACTTCATGAGTTTTTACAGGATAGCTGTAAGGTTAAAAGTTTAACTCCCTTAAAAATGCAGTTCAAAAAATTTGTATAAGCTCAACATTATCAGAAAATAATTTCTTATTTTTACAATTACTAATAAATAAATTCAAAGTAGCACGGTAAGTTGTGTGTGATGCGCGCACCGGATTTTTATTTTATGAGTGGTTGCAAAAATGTTTGCCTTAAAAATTGTGAATTTCTATATCTGATTTAGGTTTTAGAGATCAAGGAAAAAAATTGATTCTCCACAGGCATGTGCATGTGATGGGTATATTGCACCCTTAATCCGACTGAGATTTCGATAAATATGATGCCTATTATTAAATTATGCTATTAAAATAGGACTGAAAATGTGGTGCTACTCTACCACACAATTTCCACTTAACATAATTATCATAAATAATTAAATTTCTGCTGTAATAATGCTAATTGATATTTAATTATTTAAATCTATTATCATGTCTAAAATCACTAAAGTTTATTACAAATTTTTTATCAGACTGTTAAAGCTGCTAAAATAATTTCAACTTAATCTAGAACGATAATTAGATGCATTATTGAGCTCATTTCAATATTTTAGTCGCATTATTTTGCAGGGCAATAGGGTCAAATTAACTAACCAAAAGTAGTTAACATTTTATTTCTCATAATCTATTATTTTGGAAGCATGTTTTCCATTCATTGTTTAGTAAAAACTTTAATTATTTAACCCATAAAAAGATTTTTTTTTCTTACTCTCTTCCGTTACAAGCCCGATGTACTGATTAGTAAGTTCTACATCTTGAAAAATGTAATTAGGGGTGCTCTAGAACAATGGCTATTGAGTAAGTCTACGAAGGCTTATCCAGATATACAGGTGAAGAAAAAATATTGGATGACGCGCCCACCTCCTGGTATAGACCCATTTTATGAGTGTCACAGATATTGATCCTCACTTTCAGACCAGGTCTGGCCAGATCGGCTACTCGGCGATCGTCGATATGTTGAATAAAAAGCAGTAACTAAAAAAATATTTATTTCAGGTTACTACCAATTACTTCTTAGTAAACTAGATTAAATTTACATTAAACGCAAGTAAATCTTGACTTTTTAAAAACCATTTAAAGGGAAATTTAGGCAGTTCAATTAGGGTAAGTTCGGGTTTTCATAATATCAAGGATTCTTCACGATTTAGTTTTGAACCCACCAACACTACTTTTTTTTCCTTGCCTTTAGGCTATACGTTTCTTCCCCCTCGCCTTTAAGGCTGTACGGGCCCCCCTCCCTCCCCTTTAAGGCTATACGGTTTTTGTTTCCTCGCCTTTAAGGCTATACGGATATAAGGATTTTCCCGTCCCAGGGAGTTAGGGCGGGAATTTAAAAGACTCCCCCCACACCGGGACGCGGACTGACTGTTTTTATCCTATTATCAATTCTCAGGTAGCCGAGCAACGGCGTATAGTGGACCGAGTAACAGAAAACCTGCGACATCGGCTAAAAAAATATTTTTTTATGACTCTAACAACTTGACAAACTGTTTAATTGATACCTTAGGCAGTTTGTGAAAATAATTTTAATTGGCAGAATGAACATTTTATACTGTTTCAGTAAATAGTTCAATTGAAAGCCTAGTTAATTTGTCGGATTTCGCGTGATTTGTATGTTTTGAAAAATTCTTTGGTTCGAGCTGATGGTTGGTATTTTTTTCTTAAAACTTTATACACTTTTTGCTGTCATTCTGCTCAATTAAAAAAATATCTAATCATTTCTAAAACTTGTTTTACTTCGAATCTTTTTCTTTAAAAAAAAAAAAATAGCTGTTTTTAAATAAAATATTTACAAATACTGCGATTTAAAAAAAACCTCCGATATTTTACGGAAAATTGAGTTCTTATAACGTTTTATCAGTCATTGTTAAAAATAAATTCGTATTAATTTCAACCACCATGGTCCGCCTGAAGGTAGTTAAAAAATATTTAAAATTATTTTTGTATGTATAAATTGTTCGAACAATTTCTAGGTATACACTAACATCTCCTAGAACTAGACGTGCTTTCAAATTTAGTTTTATGAATTGTAATGAACTTAAAGGAAATAAGGTTCTGTAGTTATTTGTTGCGAAAAATACCTCAAACGAAAAACAATAAAAAATAATTACATTAAATACTAAATCTTCGTTTTCATTCTTTTAAATTGTCTACCTTGATAAGAAATAAACTTTTATATTATTCTTTTTAACTGCATATACCCATCCTTCATTTTCGCTCTAATCTAAAGAAATAAACAAATGTAACACCGTTAAATGAACTAAACGTTAAAATTAAATAAAAGGTGGGGTACCCGTATAAGTCGGCCTCAAGGAAAAAAACTTGTAGTTACTTTTTCCACTAAGATTACTGTCTGCTAGTAATTAATTATAATTGTTTTCAATCTCTAACCCTTATTCTTTTTAAATGCCGTTATAATTTCGTAGCGGTAAATTGAATCGAAGTGTATTTGGTTAAACCTTCATGACTTGATCCGTTTCAGTAGTTAATATAATATTTGAAATTAATGAAAAAATCCCATATTTTTTTCATCGGAAAATGTAAGGGAGTATATGGAGTGTTTTCAAAATATCGTTATCGATGGTTTTTAAATTTGTCTGTAATAAAAATAAAATAAAATGTTTATTATTTCATAAGAACTACTATAAAATGAATATTTATAATTAGTAAACGATAAACTTCTTAAGTTATTACATATGCATATATTAAAATTATATTTTGTGGTTTATTGTTTAAAAAAAAAAAAAAAATATTAAAATAACGGTTACAAGGTATGTAGTAATATAGACAGTAGTTATGAGGTCTTCATCATTTTCGAAGTTAATTTATTATCAAATTTAAAAATACCTACGTTTAAACAAAGAAACCGGTATTTTTTTTTCTCGTTGAAATTTCTAATTCTGAGATCATATTCGTGTTCCTTGGCCTTGAAAACATAAGTGTAATAAATATCAAGTTAATCCGACATCTTTTACGATTTCTAGGCCCAAGTCCACGAAAATCTATCTTTCATTCCAATGTGTGGTGGTGCTGTGCACACTCTTTAGCCCCTTCGACCACCCCTTCCTCTTTATGTCTACAATAATTTTTACTAGTTGTTATGAGGATGGTAATGAACAATGACAAGTTTCATAATTATTTTTTGAATGTTGGGGTAATGCTGTCCCTACTCCCTTAATTTTACTATAAAAGTAGCTGAGCTTATGGAAGAATTTTCAATGGATTGAGGTGAATGAATTTCATTGGTCTACAACTGAGTAATGGCAGAGGTAGTATCCATGATCTACTCTTGTAGAATCCTGTGTTTTCAAGCAAGAAAGGAAATAATAAATGAATAAATAAAATTATTAAGAAGACAGAGTCAAGGCATATTATTATGTCTTTAGCTTCATGATAGAAATGGAAAACAAACGAACATCTAGATATAAATAGAAAAGCAATACCTAAACATGATGATAAGCATTGCTACTGGCAGTCTCCCTTATTCAAAAATAAGTCATAAGATTCATCCACTTCTATTCCCTCTGACATAAGAATGCTGCTATTCACAGGAGAAAACAGTGGATCACACATTACTTGAAATTTTAAAATTTTATGGATTTAATGTAAATGAAATTAAATGTCATTTGCAATGATAGACATTTTTATTGAAAATTTTCAAAATATATTTGCATTTTAGAAACTAGTTTTATAATAACTCTCATAACCTACCCACCTTTACTGAATATTAAAATTACGAATAGATGTTTAAATTTGACAGTATCAATGGAATAAAACAGGTCCAAATAACTTAATATAAGATTTATAAGCTTGACATAATATCCTGTTCCTCCTTATTTTTAAATAAATTTTCAACATTATATGAACCGTTATTTTCCATGTTGGATCTGATAGGATTGTTTTGATTTCATTTATCTTCCTGAAACTTGATAAAAAGGATAATAGTATCTTAAATTTAAACAAGTCAAAACTGATTGTTTACCTGTACAACTTTAATTGCTCAAAAGGTATGAATTAAAATAAAAGAAAAAAGAATAACAAATTGTTTACCAGGGGAAAAGTTACAGAAATAATCTGAAGTGGTAATTGGTGAAATTACATTAATTTTTCATAAAGTGGACTGAAATATTCAAAGATATATATATTTTTTTTATATAATAAAGGATTCAGGATTTCCATTTAAATTTAAAACTAGGCTTTCATCCAGTTAACACATATATTGTTTAAAAAATTTTAGATGAAATAATATAACAAATATATATGACTAAAATAATTTTTTACTAGAAAAAATTCCTGTATAAAAATAAACAATGTTGAAGCTATATTCGAACTGGAGAAACAAGATTTATCAATAAGAATTAATTATATATTATATTATTTAAACAGTTAATTAATTTTTATAGTTATCAAAAATGATATCAACCAACTGTATGCAATTCCTATCTAAAAAAATTCAGTTTTTCTGTTGGAATATTTTTTCCTTCTTTGAATACGAATTTGCCCAAAAGAGAGGTGCTCCTATAGCGTTTATACCCTTGTATATCTTCATCTGTGCCATGCCATTATTTTAAATTTTATAACCAATTAGGAATTGTAGGAAATAATTTTTAAAAAATAAAGGGTAAATTTATTATTGTTAAGAAAGTCAAACTTGTAACTTATTCCTAATTTGAATATAAAATTACTCCTTCTTAATTTAGACTCAATATAATTAATTTTATGAGCTTAGGATTTCCCTAATGAAAAACAAATTCATAGCAAAATAATTTGAGGCAAAATGGAGACAATAAGAAACTGACTCTATCACTATCCAACTATTTTTTATAATCATCACAAAAAGATATTGATCAACTGTTCATAACTTTCATCTCAATTATTCAATTCTACTTCCAGAGCAAATGTTTTTTCCCTACATTGAATATGAATTTGCCCCAAAGGAAATGACATTTAATTAATTAATCCGTATTAGCTTCAGACATTCCGCCGGTACTGAATATTTAATATTCTAATCTTAAGAGTAATTAGTTCATTAATAAGGGGATATTTTCATTAAGGGGAGTTCCTATAAAGTGGAGTGAAAGTGCAGCCCATCAGAAAGTAAGTGAGAGCCAACAAAGATGGGCTTCCAGGATGCGATTGGAGACTCAGATGTCATCGATGGACTTAGTATCAAGTTTCTCGAACTCTTAGGAATGTGGAAAGCCATCAACGGATATAGGACCACAGGGAAGAGGGACATTTCTACCAAAATCCACATGATAGTGTCACTTCTAATTCCTATGCCATATGTTGTATGTCAAGTGCAAAGCTTCTTCAATATAGAATTCGACTTACAGAAGCTTACATTTTTATATGTGCATTCATTGCCCGCTGCTTCTTTGTGCTGTAGGATTCTGATATTTTGGTTCCGCATGAAGAGTATTTGCAGGCTTTATAACTTGATGAGAAATGACTTTTTCAATATTCCACATCACATGAAAGCTAACGTTACAAAAATATACAAGAAGATCAGCCGGGTGTCCAATTTGTGCTGTATTTTCTTTTTTTTATGGCAAACTGAAGGAATAATAATGTATCTATGTTCGCTTCCTAATATGTCTGTTGACTACATACAATACCACACTGGGAATATGGCTGCTGTCAAAACAGGGAGAAAGAAGATATTTGGAGGCTGGTATCCGGTACCGATGAGCGAATTCCCTTATTACGAAATTATATTTGTATATGAGCTTATATGTCTGTTTTGGGCAGCGACACTGTTGGCTGTTTACTCCAGTTTGTTTTTTCAAATATTAATGTGCCTTTATGCTCAATATGTTGTACTTGGATTACTCTTATCAAGTTTGAAATTGGATCCTGATGAAAATTGCACAAGAAAACACAAAAGATATCATAATAACTATAATACCAGAATTTATGAAGAATTAAGGAAAATACTTCTGGACCATCAAAAAATTTTAAAGTATTTTATTTTTAAATATTAAGTATTTCAAACCTGAAGCTTTAATGCGATAGCGATTCTCTTTCCACAGGTACACTGATGAACTCAGGAGTGTTTACAACCCAATGGTGACAATAACACTTGGAATAGGTGTCATCGTTTTGATCTTCACAGCTGTACAGATTATGCTTGTAAGATAAATATTGATAAATAATTGATTCTAATATGAAATAAAATTTATCGTATATAAACCATTACTTAATAATTGCTGGATTTTAGGGAAGCGATCCCAGTGTCATATTTCAAACTGCTCAGGTGTTTTCATTAGTATTTATTGAAGTATCTGTGTTCTGTATAGGGTCTTCACTCATTGGGACAGCGGTAAGTAACAGATCATGTGAAAACTAAAAAAAAAAATAATTTATTAAAAAATAAGTTAAAATAATATTTTCAACTCTAATCTTACAACTTGTCTATTAAGGTTAAGTTTTTCAAATGAACATTTTAAATATTTTTTTTTTTTTATCATTCTAAATATTGAACTTGTTCCTGCAAAATAAAAATAAAATATAATTTATTACAAAAAATCATCTAAGGACCTCATTCAATGATTTTACTTTAAAGAATCAAAAACATGATCTAAAGTTTATTCAAATATGTTGGAGAAAATAATTACATTTATATATATAACCTTACTAAACACAATTATATATCTGTGAGGCTTAAAAGCCCACATTTCTGTCCTTGTTTATTATTCTACAGGGACTTCCCAGAATAAATAAATGATTACTATTATTATTAAAAAACTTACTCTATAAACTTACAGTTGTGATCATAAATATCTTAAGTTTAATATTCCTGAATTTCTGACAATTTTCACAACTTCTTTTGTAAACAAATTAAAAATTTCAAATTTAAAGCAGAGCTATTAACATTTACATTTTTTTTAAGTGGAAACACCTTTAGGCGCGCTTAGCACTTTTTTTGTGGGTAGTGAATGCTCGGATACCTAACACTCATTAAGGTGAAGTCTGCTCGATTGGACAAATTGAAGCGTTTTTGCATTTGGATTAAAATATTATAAAACTAAAAATTGGACCAGTGTACTGCAAGGAAGAAAAATATTCTGCATTTCATTCAATTTGTAATGAGCTGTTTTTCAAATTTTTTTCATAATGTGATGCCATGTTCAAGAGGCAAAGAGCGAAAAATAAAGTGTTGAAAACCAAATGATAACAAGTTTTGTTGAAGATAGGGATGGATTCAAATTTGGACCTGCATACTGTAAGCAAGTGAAAGGTTCAGCATTCTATCATCTTTGTATTGAACTGTTATTCAAATTTATAACTTAATGTGACACTATGTTAGAGAGGCAAAAATGGAAAAAGGTGATGTCAAAAACCAAATGATAATGAGTTTTGTTGAACATATGAATTAAAATACATCAAAAATTAAAATTTCTACCTGCACAGTATAAGCAAGGAAAATTTTTAGAATTCCATCTTCTTTATAATGTGCTATAGTTCAAAATAATAAAATAATTTTATATTGATGTGGCACCGATTTAGAGAGTCGGAGAGAGAAAAGACCAAATAATTCCTACTGTTTTGAACATTCGGACTAAAATATTTCAAAATGTAAAGACAATGGAGTACCATATTTATGGTGTGATATAGTAAAAATATCACTGATCTAATATTTTTGTAGTTTTTTTCATCTACTTTTATTACAGATATATTTTTTCACTTGAGTTAGAAAAAAAAAAGTAAATTAAAGTAAAATAAAAAATAAAGGAATTCTTTTAAAATATACATAGAAAAAATATTACATTTAGGGTGAATATTTATTCTAGAATTTGTATTCTTGAATAAATATTCAACCTAAATATGATAAAAGCACACATGACAAAATAACAGCTAGTTTCTTTTCCAGTTAATTTTGCAGAACGCTTTAGTTTTTATGTATGAATGCTCAAGAATTCCTAACTCAGATGTAATGTAAACATTAGAGGTGACTAGGGGAAAGAATTTAGGGAGCACTTACCCTGAATAGCAGATTTTTGAACATTTTATTTTCAAGTTAAATAAAAGATATTTGTTCCTAATTTTTTATTGTTTTGACCTTAATTCTATCGATAAAATGAGTTTATCTTATTTATCTTATTAAAGAAGAAGAATATAGTAATCGCAATTTGTTTTAAATTGCAGGTACCTATTACGTTTATAATATAATTTTTTTTAAAAATCCTATTTGTCTCTTAGCCCATCAACATAAAATTCACTTTTCTTCTTCTTCTGCTACATGAACGATATTTTTTGTTTCGATAACAATACAATTAACAAAACATATAAATAAAATTATTTTTATAAAACCATTACTTATTTTAGTTTACCTTGGTTTTATTTTCTATTTTTTATGTTAAAATCACAACATTTTAGGTTACTTGATAATTCATAACCATACATTTGGACATTTTCTAATTTTTTTTTTCTACTATGAAATTTTATTTTTTGTGGATAAGTTGGTCATTTTAATGTCAAACTGCATTTGGGATTGGATGTTGTTCTAATCTAACTTTGCTATTTCATCCCCTTCTCTCATTATTTATATATTTGTACTTATTTAAGGTCTATTATTGTTTATATAATGATTTTTTTATATTTTACTGTTCCATTAATTTTTTTATTTATCAATTTTATGGATGTCTTTTTTTTTTTTTACTGCCTTGATGATTTGTGCAGATTGGCTATTTAAATTTTTTGTGTCTGTTTTAAAATTAATTACTTCTTCTATAATAATTATATTATATTTATAAGTAATATTTAATGCTTCTCATATTCCTATTTTTATAAATACATCTGACAATGCCTAAAATTTTGGTATTTTCAAAATCAAAATAGTGACTTTTAATATACCGTGTTGTGATAATTCAGTAGTACTGATGATTGTTATATTTTTACAAGCAGATGGCCTGTGGTGGGTTTAATACATCATACCTGCTATTGATCCTTGTACTAGAAAAATGGATAAGGGACTCAAGTGTAATAAGTGTAAAGAAGTGGTATAATTCTGTCCAAATTCTAGCCCACACAGATAAAATAGTATCATAGCCAGATCACACAGGGTCTTAGTAAAGACCTTCCTAGAAATAGAGGCAGCAGGATAGAAAATGGGTTTAATATATTATGGATCATATATATTATTTAATGTAAAATACTTCTTCTATTTCCTATCTTTTGTAAATATATTTGACAATATTTAAAATGTTGGTATTTTGGCCCACTTGTATCTCATTTAGCTCTAAATTTGCCAAAAATAGATCTACTTATCTTTGAAATTTTAAACACCTTTTTTTTTTACTAATTTTAGGCTGCAGTATAGGTATTTGTTTCTTTACGAACTTATAAATTCCAAATAAATTAAATCTAAATGCTTCAATAAAGAATACTAGCCAAAGGAACCAACAATAAAAATAATTATCTTTTTTTCACCCTTTATAATTTCTCTTATCAACCATAGAGCTCAGACCTCGACTTCGCGATTTATAGCAGCGAGTGGTACAAAGCTGATGTGGAGTTTAGGAATGCGGCCCAGATGTTGATGGTAAGAACAAAAAGGAATGCTAACCTCACTGCCTTAGGGATGTACACAGTGAATCTGGAAACCTTGGAAGCAGTAAGTTGGAATAGCATATTTTGTAATTATTAAATTAAATTATCTCTCCATAAAAATAATAATATTTAATTATAAAGGGACTGTTCTATTTTTAACTCTGTTCTGCATCACGTACTTACTTCATCTAAGGGAAGTTTATTATTCTTTATACGTAAGAAAGTGATGGGATCTATTCAGGCATTCATTGTAAAATTAAAATAAAAAAAAAGAAGTTTAAATATATAGTTTGATTACTCAAAATTTCTGCATCACATTTCAAAAATTACTCCCTAATAGAAAAATAACTAATATTTCTGAATTATAAACTCATAAAGTTTAAGTGATGAAATTTTAAACACTTATCTCAACACAATAACTGAATGTTTTTGACATTTAGATTTTAAAAGGATATTCCTTTTGAAGTACATCAGATTTTAAATAATATATGAATTTAGAAAAATCGTAATATTTAAAAAGCCATTATTAAAAAACAATTTAGCTATCAGGCCTTAAACTACTCTGTGAAACTATTTTTTTTTTTTCACCTTTAAAAACCAAATATCAAATCGAATAAATTTCTATTTCTTTTCCGGTATTTCTTTTTTCTTTTTACAATACTTGTTGATAAGGTTATAAATGTATTTTGTGCTACACAAAATTTGATTTGTCATGAACTTATAAACTTAAGCTGTATGATTTCAACAATACAATGAAAATAATCATAACAAGTATTTTTTATGAGCTAAGTTAAAAATATTTTATTATTTTTTCGATTGTAGTTCTAAAATATTCTAAGAAATTTTTGTTATGTAACTAACTGTATTGCTGAGGGATTATCTTAGTTGCGTTAAATACTATATTTGATGTAGTAAATTTATTAAGAATGTTGGTTTATTGGGTATGTTTATACTATTGAGGGCTCTAAGTGAAAAATGCTCATGATTTTTATGGTAATGAATAATGCTAAAACCTTATATAATATTAATAATTATTAATCCTAGATAATCTTTTTTTCAGATTTTACAGTTCACCTACTCTGCCACTGCTTTGACAATGGGTAAACTTTAATAAACATAATGTTGTAACCATTTCTGAACCTTTTTTCAAAGCAAAGTACTTGTTCATTAATGATTGTTAAAAAATAGCTATCAAGTAATGTCTTATGAATGAGTGATTTGATGAGTGAAAAAAATATAAAACTAAATTGTTATAATGAAATGTTTTTATATGTATAGTAATCAAAAATATTATTTTAATAAAACCAAAGAATGTTTTAAGGGCCCCTTACACGGTTAATATTATTGAGCCAATATTATTGAAGCAATACAATTGAAGGCAATATATTGAAGGGGTACCTCCTACAGGTCAATTATATTGAATCAATATTATATAAGTTAGAATCTTGCTTCCACTGAAGAAGGAGGTTTCCAGAGAGGCAATCTTTTCTCCAAAGCGGTAATTATTTTGTGGAAATGAATAATAATGAATTTCCTATTAAAAAAAAATTGTTAAATTTTGTATTTAAAGTATCACCCACCTGCCCAAACATATTGCCATTTCATCTTTAAAAAATAATTCAGAGAGGGAATTAGCTCCCCTAAAAAAAAAAACTGTAAAAAGTAAAACAATGTTTCACCCACCTACCGAAATAAATATCTGTCATATCTTTCAAAAAAAATATCCACCTCCTTTCTAAAAAAAAAGTAAAACAAAGTATCACCCAACTACCGAAACATATGTATATCCGTTTTATCTTTTAAAAACAAAATCAAAGTTGGGGTTAACCCCCTCCCTTCCCCCTCTCACCCCCCCTCCCAAAAAAAATTAATGAAAGTAAAACAAAGAATCATCCACCGACCCAAACATATTGCCAAGACAAGCATTGGGAATTTAGTATTGCCCAGAGCTTCTCAATATTTATATGTTTTTTAATATAGCCCTAATAAGTACAATTATATTGACGCTGTATCAATGATATTGAAGGAGCATCTATAAAAAAAAAAAAATTGATATCTAGCAGTTTGATTGACCTCAATATAATTGATGCCAATGTAGTTCTTACACGGCCAATAAATTGACAAAACTCGATATTGACTCAATAATATAGACCGTGTAAGGGGCTCTTTATATATAATAATGATTGCAATTACATAAATTAGTAATGATAATTATATGATTATAATTATTACATATTATTAAAATGTTAGTTTTATTATTATTATTATGTATATTTAAAAATATTATTAAAAGCATGCAAAAGACAGATACAATTTTTTAGAAAAATTTTCCTTTACTACTGATGTCATTGTTATGTATTATGATGAATAAAATACTTTTTCATTGTGTATTAATATTAAGGATGGACATGACAATATGTCAGACATCATAAAATATATGTTATATTAAATATGTTATAGTTTTGATCTTTAATAGTTTACAATAAAAGTATTCTCGTATAAATCATTTAATTTATCAAATATCCCACTTCTAACCAAGTAATGATTTATGATGAGGAGAGAAAAAACAAAGGAATGCCAAAAACTCAAGTCTTAGGATTTTTAATATCACTGGATTCAATTATGAGATAACCTATTGAAAATAAGAAATTCTGATACCATAACAAGGTATATCGTTATGGATGGGGAAAACCATTAAGAAGAGAAATTAAATCAAAGGTATGATACAATGAAAAATATGAAATTAAAAGTAATTCTTTTTAACATGGACATGTATACATTTTAAGAAATAATTTACAAGAAAGTATTAGCAGTGCTATGTTTTGAAAAAAAAAATTGTAATCTAAAAATATTTCAAGAAATTTTAGTTGAGATTCTCGAAAGGTGAGAATATAATACAGGTATTTTACTAGCTGTATTTGATGAGGTAAATTTTCTCAGTCAGTGTATGTTTGTGTTTTTAAGTGTCCAGGATTTTTTATAACATCCAGGAATTGCATAGCATTGTATATATTAAATATTATTAATCCTTGATAATTTTTTTTTCAGATTATATAATTTATCTACCCTGCCACTGCTTTGACTTTCAGCAATAATTAATAAACATTACATTTTAATAGTTTTTGTTTCATTTTCATATTTAATGATTAACGATTGTCAAACAATTTTCAAGTGATGTCTTAAATAAATTGATTTAAAAAATAAAATAATTATAATGAAACCTTTGTTTATCTATAATCATTAAAAATATTGAATAAAGAAAATAAAAGAATGTTGCAATATATAATTATAATTATAATTTGATAAATTATTAATTACTATATAAATTATTATAATGCTAGTGATATTATTATTAATGACTATTTAAATATATTATTAAATATATATAAATGATGGATGGTTTATTTTAGAAAAATTATCATATACAAATGAAATGAAAAATAATTTTATTCTGGTACTAAAATACCGTAAGAATAATAACACTATTCAAGAAATATTTATATCAGTTTGACATGTAGATAATAATACAATTATATAAAAAAAATAATAATTTCATGGCTCTTGTCAATTAACTGTTAGTACACAATTGTAGTTATATAACCTAAAAATTCTTACAAAATAAAGTTTGAATGTGAAGTAGATGGTGTAGTGGGAGTTGCTTTAAGGGCTTTTTGACGTATGGAGATAAGTAAGGAGTTTCTTAAGGAAGCAAGAATGGCGAAGGATTTGCTGAAGGAAGTGGTTTTATGGGTAAGGATATATGCAAATCTATAAGCTGAGATCTTGTTTTAAGAGAGTGGACAGAGATATGTAGAGGGAGGACTTCAAAGGGTCTGTGAAGGATTTTTGATTTTGAGGACTTGGAAAAGAAAAACACCAAGAAGGAATTGCCATTGGGAAATAGGATGGGGCATAGGTGGATCTACGGAGGAAGGGGTAGGGAGGGACTTTCGGGCTGAAGCCCTCCCCCCCAAAATGGTACAATATAACCATGTTTTACAGAAAAAAATATAAAAACTATCTCTTAAAGCATTCTTGTTTGTGTAATTATATTTAAAAGGACTTCAAGAACCATTTAAACACCATTTCATATAGGTGTTAATTTGTTTCTTTTTTTTTCAAATTAATTATCATTATATGTATATAGAAACAAAATCTTTCGGGCTGAAGCCCTCTCCCCAAAAATTAAATTCTGGATCCGCTAGTGGGATAGAGGGATAGAAACATGGAAATGCCTGGGAATCCCAAAGCTGTATCATATGAAGCTCCTCATAAGTCTCTTCAGTCTCATCTCAAGTCTTGTAGACAGCCATCCATACACCAACCAACTGTAGCTGAAGTGAGGGAGCTTACAAGGAGCTGTCTGGTTGTTTTAGGAATAAAATCATGAAATCGATGTTGAGGAATTGTTTAAGGATAGTTATGAATTTTCAGGTAACCTAAAAAATATGGACAATGATATTTGTTTGATGTATTGTAAATAATATATTCTTTGGTTGTTTATTACTTAGGAGAATAGGCTTGACAACAAGTCAAATATTATAAAAATATAATATATATTATCATTTTGTTATTTATACTTTATATTAAAATTATTCTAGTATAAATATCAAATACCTCGCTTATATTATTAGAATAAATAATTTATTTAAATTTTTAATAAGGTGATGGAGGGAAACAAAAAACAAATATTGCTAAAACTCCTTGGGATTTTTAGTACACTTAAATTCAATTAAAAAAAATGGTAGGTTCTGATTCACTTTGGGTGACCCAACCAGGTATATTGTTAAGGGAGGGATAGAAACCTCCTGATAATTTTAAAAACCATTAAGTTGGAAAATTTGAGTTTTGGGAACTTTTTAAAATGTGAACATTGTGTTATAACATTTTACTCATGAAGTCATGAAAGTTTAAAACCAAACCTTTCAATTTCAAAATTTATATATTATCCATACAAAAACAAACAAATGTTTATTAAATTTTGTTCTCTTTTCATTTAAATAATGTTTTTTATTTTTTTTCAAAATGGTGTTATTTTTACTTGTTTTAATTTAATTTTACTGAAGATACTATATATTCTTTAATATTGACTAATGTAATTTTTGGCCAGATGTAGTTTTATTTTTTTGTTCATATCTGTTATTCATAAGGGACCTTGTCCCAGAATAAAGATTACTTTCTATCTATCTATCTATCTACAAATTTGTTAATAATTATGTTGTGTATAAGAAAACAAAATAAGTGTATTTCTATTAATTTTTCCTATTTATGGTGCCATAAAATTCTTTTGTTCATAAATCCCAGGCCGCTAGATCACTATTTCTTTCTTTCTTATTATTATCTCAGCGCAACAACCCGTTGCCGTTCCCGGGCCCGGGTCTCATCACAGCAACTTCCGCTGAACGCCACAGTTCTGTGCAGCCGCCATCCAGTTGCACACTCCAAGGATGTTCCGAACGTCAGCTGCAACTTCGTCTACCCATCTTTACTTCGATATTCTTCCTCTTCTAGTTCCGTAGAGAGGCTCCATCAAAAGCTTTCTGGGCAACTCTTCTTCGCTCGGGTGTGCCATATGCCTAGCAACTGGGACAATTTAAGCATCTGAACGACATCGGGTTGTCTAAATAAACCATAAACCACCTAGTTTTTGCGCCTCCACAGGGTTCCATACACCAACACTTCTCTAAATATCCTCCGAATGATTTTCAATTCGAACATAAAGAGGATCTATTCATTACATTTGGTCATAGTTCACGTTTCTGAGCCGAATATTAGCATTAGGTGGATTATGGTTATGTAAAGATGTAGTTTAGTTTAGCGGAAGAGGACGTGGAAGCTGTGTTCTCAGGCTGTTGTAGCACTGATTTGCAGAAATTATCTTCCTTCTAATTTTCATATCTGCGCTGTTGTCCTGTGTTACCGTAGAGCCTAGATAACTCCTAGATAAGATTAGATAAACTTGGTGACTTGCTCAAATCAATCAAATCAGTAGCCCCCGAATGTGACTATTTCACTGTGTTCAGACGTCTCTTCGGTCACTATGTATTTGGTTTTCTCCTGGTTAATCTCGAGCCATAATTCTCTTGCAGGACCTACAAGCTCTAGAAAAAATCCTCTGACAGCAGAGATGGGCATATTTATATTCGAAAATATAAATACGAATACCATTTATATTTATGGTACAAATGAATATAAATATGAATATATTCATATTCTTAAAAAGTAATATGAATACAAAAGATACGTATTCACGGATGCATTTACACCGGCAAAAGTGAAGACGGCAGTATTCA